TTAAGATGAGTGACCTAAAGCAGGGATAATGCAAAGGAGGGGCCACAATGAGCATGGCGGCATTTTTTTTTATAGGCCGGTGAAGCCAGGCTCCTTTGATTTCTGCCCTTGAAATAAAAAGCCGAGAGAAGACATGATCGATGATCTGATGGTGAATCTGATGGGCAAGTGAAGATTTAAATTAGAGAACAAATCTGGCAGCAAGAGAAAATGGCCGTAAGTAATCTGGGGATGGAAAATCAAATGAGGTTTCTGATCATCATAACAGTAGAATCCAGGGATTCCTTCAAGTTCATAGGAGCAAGATATTTTCCTAATTATTAAATGAGCATGGCTGGTTTTGGAAGGGGAATACAGAGATTGTGTGGAATAGCAGAGAATTGGGCTTGATTATCCCAGATATCTTTTTTTTTTTTTCTTTATTTCCAGAATCTTTTTCCAAGTGATGGAGAAGCGTCCATTTATGATGCAGTTGTGGACACAACACAAAGTGAGGAGGAGAATCATGTTTCCGTGTTGTCCTGTTCCCACACACCTGAGCTATGGTAATTCGCACTCGCTGTCTTTGTTTTATGTCCAAGTGATTGGGTCAGATCACAATTCCATTTGCTGTTTGGTTAACTTGGGGATTCTCAAGTCGTGTGAGTGTTATTACTGATTTCTGGACCCCGTTGTGGAAAACGTATGTAGTAAAGGAACAAAATCCATTAAGCCTCCATCAATCTTCTCACCCCAAAACATTGACTTCTCAGTTTTAAAATATAGCTGAGTTGCAGGGCCAAAAAAAAACCCAACCCAAAGCAGAATGTGATGAAATAAATATAAAATTGTAATAAATAGATGTGGCAATAACCCCAAGGGTCCCAAAGTGCATCAGTGAGCCTTCCACCTCGAGCTTCCTAGTCTTGGGTTCGATGTTTTCCTTTTTCTCTCTCTGTGCTCTCTCCGGCTCATCAGGAGTGCAAAGCTGTGAAGACGAGCTCTGCGTTGATGTCAAAGCATGCCGGGTACGGGCTGTTCTGCGCTGCTGGGCCGCATTGATCCAAGATCTAGGCTGGCTTTGTAAGCCTGTTCTTGGTTGGACTTGATGATCTCAAAGGTCTTTTCCAACCAAAGTGATTCTATGATTCTTGGTGAACAGCTCTGGGCTTTGGGGGAAGCCAAATGCTGTGACTAGGGCTTAGCTTGCACATGAAGTCAAGCGCGCCTTGGTCTGGCACAGCTCATGCTGCCTCCTGAATCGTAGAAGGTTTTGGGTCGGAACGGAGCCGTAAAGGTCACCTGGTGCCACCCCCTGGCACGGGCAGGGACACCCTGCACCATGTTGCTCAGAGCCCCGTCCAAGCCCTGCGCAGAGCGAGCCTCCTTGCAGACTTCTATCTTAGAGGTACAGAATTATCACTTAATGATCCTCCCGGGTGCCATGAGTGAAATTAAGCTTTGGTTTAGTCCATTAAACGATTTTGTAACTTGATTTTTCTTTTAAATAGCAACGCTACTTTCTTAAGAAAAAACAACTAACTTAACCAAAGTTTTATTTTACTCGTATCTCCATCATTTAACTTCAATGTACGCTCCGAGGAGTGCGATCTGTTACCGAATACCGCAAAGAAAGCGGCGTTTGTTTCACAGTTGAGGCTGCCTCGCCATGTTTACGTGACGTGTAAACAGAGTCGGGACAAACTGCACGCAAAGGAGATGAAGTATGTAGGAAAGAAGGCGAACTCTTCCACGTGTGTGTGGGCATGGCAGCGCACAATTGCCGCGCCGGTTCTAATAAAGGCTTCGGCTGCTTGGCTCTGCAGTTAACAGAAAATGAGTCAGAGTTCTGCCAACGCAAAAGAGCTCCCCGTCGCCCTGCTAAACTCTCCCTATGAATAGCCATTGTCCCATGAGTGACCCAACCCAAGTCAGCGCAAATGGCTTCCCCCACGCTATTTTGGGTATAGGTGCTTACTGCGGGCTTTAAAGATGAAGAGCTTCCCAAAATGCTCTGTAGTATTTTTGACTGTCTGTCCGTAACGGGTTGTGGATCCGTTTGTCTTGCTGGCGACCCTTTAACAGAAGGGGGCTGTCAAATGGTTTCCCACCAGGCGGAGCCGGGGCGGGGGGCAATGGAGCAGGCTTCTTGTCAGAAATGCTTGCGAGTGGAGATGTGGGTTGGAGGGAACTGTTTGACCTAGCTTGAGATGCGGGCGGGCTGCTGGGGGTCCCTTCCATCACCCGCCTGTCTTGGCCCCAAAGATGGGGAGCGTGTTTAAGCCCTTGGGGTAGCGTTGGTTTACTGCTATTTTTTTTTATCTTGTTGCGTTGGTTTATTGCTCCCCTCGGTCCCGATGGACCTGCCACGGCCCCTTTACCCGCAGAGCCACCTCTGGTGGTGGCCCAAGACCTCGCACACGGAGAGGGCCGTTTTCTCTAAAGCAGAGGGTGTCCAGCGTTTCGGTTTTGACCCTTAGCGCCACGTGCCAGAGCAGGGGTGCTCCTGGCTCTGCCTCCTCCTTGTTCACCCTCTCCCCATGCTGTCTTTCAGCCTGCTGCTGTGCCCTGGCCATCGCCTCTGGGTTCCTGCTGCAGAACAGCCTCGCCTACAGCCTTCGCCAAGGCCGCCGGAGGAGAGCAGGGGGGCCTGGGCTGCCGTTGGCCTCCGCTCCTGGAGATGCTCTTCAGGGTCTGGGGAAGCTTGTCCTACGAAAACGGCCGGGACCCCCCCTCAGCCCCGCTCCCCGAGGCAGCCGCGGGT